ATTAATCGTACCATACAGTACAATGTAACGCAATTAACAAACCGGGCGGAGAATGCGTATTTCCCTGTAACGTGAGTAATTTAAGATATACAATAACATAGACACATTGTGTTACATTTTTGATTAAACAAATAATGACGGTTTTGTTGGATATTTGGTATCGTTATACATGGTGTAGCGAAAAGGCTGGGAAAAATTGTGGGTATGACTAATACAGTCTGTTCCACAAGAGCGTTGGAACGATACCTGGAAAAATAATTGATAATTTCAAAAATTGAAAAACAGACTTATAGTACATCTAAAATACTACGACGCAATTACCTAATATAATGCATCATCAGCTTCAATTTCAAGTATAGCCTCTATGCTTTTACTCAAGTTTCCAGCGTACCACTCGGAGAATAGCCTCCATATTTGCTTAATTTGGCGGCATAGCTGCTTTAAAGTAAGTATAACACTTCCACGAAGCTTGAGCTTGATGATGCTCAGACATTTTCAATCGGATTAGCGTCTTACGAACTCGTTTAACTATTTCATGTAACGAGCCGCCGAGAAGATGAATTTTGGTCCTTTAGGATGAGTGCAAAGAAACACTGCTTCAAACCGTTTAGCGTAGGTACGCTGTACTCATGTTGAAATTCGAGTGTTTACAATGACAGACGAACCCAAACTAACATATTCTTAACACTAGAATTTATTAATTTCTCTTTGTTAACCAGTTTATAAGACATTCCAATGGACAAACTTATTTCCCAATTTGTTATAATTTTTTCTGTCACAATTGAGACCTATTGGGACATATGATCCCATTGTGAAAACATGATGCGTCAAACTGTGCTTAACCTATTTTTTCTTCATATTGGAGTGAATTATAGTCCGTACTATTGCATTATGGAGTTTCTCGTTAAAAAAAAGTCCGTCTCTAAAGGGTTAAAAATGCTAACTTAAGCAACCCAAGTCACGAGTATGCATTTTTATGGTGACAAAGTATAATTATTATTATTACTATTAGTCGGTATAATAACAACGGCAGAATATTTATTCATTTCTTTCAGATAGTAAACAAATGAATGTGATTACTATCGCTGGCTATTTAAACTATTAGTTGATATAATAACAACGGATGAATATTTATTCATTCCTTTCAGATAGTAAACAAATGAATGTGATTACTATCGCTGGCTATTCAATAACTTTCAACATAATCAATTGAAGAACACCACTATAATTATAGTTCCGTCTTCAACAATCACTTCGACCGAAGCCACTATGGTGGTAAGTAATAACCAGAAGGATAAAACCGAAAATTCTAGAACCCCGTGAAAATTCGCTAACCTACTTATGACTTCAAGTATCGTTGATCACCGAATTGCCCGAGAAGAAAATCTCACGAATTCTGACCAGTTAAACCCCACTAACCTCCTAGAATGATCCCGTGCCCCAAAAGCGACCGCGTTTACTGGTCATAAATATAAAACTAGCACACACGATCACGCGTCGCTTGCAGCAAAGAGATGAGAACTCTCTTGTGCATGTCGACCCGATAAAAGTTTCGTCGGCCTGAAGAGCGTTAGCGGATGGCAAGGAGAAAATACGGACTCGAAGACACGTGTGTAAAACCCGCGCAACCTCGGTGTTACTATACTTTATGTGAGTTAGAGGATAACTGCGAGAGCGAAGTTCCACGGCGTCTGCAATGCGTCTGGACCGAACCGTTCCGCAGGATATCACCTTGGTTCGCGAGGAAGTATGTTGCCTGGGTTCGCCATATTTTTCGAGCGGGCGTAATGCAGCTTGTTACTCATCCAGCTATGAGTTACCCGGCCCGGCGTACTGGTCTGTAATCCACTTTTAAACGGATAGTTAAATACTCGTTACCGGCCTGGCTTTCGAACTGTACCAATCCACTTATCACGTACATCGGAGATTCGCACTTCCCTCTATTTGACTTTGCGGGAGAATGGAATAGCGAAGCTTGGCGCTCGCTATATTTTAAGGGGTTATGCCTACCTGCTAGCTCGACAAAAGACATGTACGTTCGGAATTTATTTTTAAAAACTTTAAGACTTTTTTAAACGTACCTCATTGTATTCTAAAGTGTACATTTCTAAAGTGCTTATAATCATTTCTTCAATGCAAAATATGAATAAATAGGGGAAATATAAAATAAAAAATCCGAGCAAATTTAGTTACTATGTTAAATTATCTAGTGTCCGTTCGTTTATTATCCTGAAAAATTAATTTACGATAAAATGGCGGCTGTTCAAAATCGAAGTATCGATTTTCGCCAAAAAAATCGTTCATTTTTGATCTATAAAATAAAAACTACGCAATGAAATACAAAACGCCACGATCAGGCACTTGATTTCTATGTATTGAATGAGTCCACCAAAGCTGAATCAGTTTGGTGCAGCGGTTGTCGAAATATTTTGGTCATCGATTTTGAAAATGTGGTTTTGAGAAATACACGTTTAAAGTTTCAAGTCAGGTTTATAACCGAATCAATGCAAATTTTTTATATATAGTTATTCTTAGTATTACGGTTTCATATAGCTTTGTGTATTTACTAACACAACCATAAATTGCATTGGAGCACAGTATTCATGACTCACGCACCCCTAGAAAGGGATCCTACCACTTTACGTATATCTGCTCTGAAACTTCCAAAGCCGTGTACTTTAAACGGGCCTAACTCCGCCAATCTTGGTCGGATCAAAATCAAACTTTCACACAATATTTCTAAAATGATGTACTGTAAGAAAATATTAAAACCCAAAAATCGATTTCCTCAAAATTTATAGGTAGGCATAATCCTTTAAGTGGTCTTTGGGCACTTTGGAGCCCAAAATAAAAGATCTTCTTTCGCAATTTTTTTCGAGAAAAAGGAAGTAAATGAAACATATATTAAAAACATTTTATTGTACATGTCTTCCGATATACGAACAAATTTTTACGCGACTCTGAAGCTCCTCGCGTTGTTTTTAAATTAACACCTAACTGACCAACAGAATGACTTGAAAACAGTTTGATCTAGAACAAAAAATGAAACATTTTTATATTCTACAAATGAAGTAAATGAAACATCTATTAAAAACATTTTATTGTACATATCTTCCGGTATACAAACAAATTTTTTTTCATAGACCTAAATGACGACTCTGAAGCTCCTCGCGTTGTTTTTAAATTAACACCTAACTGGCCAACAGAATGACTTGAAAACAGTTTGATCTAGAACAAAAAATGAAACATTTTTATATTCTACATGAAATTTACTAAAGTAACACGTAAGGATTCTGCTACATGTTAAAAACTTCCTTTACTATGGACATTTTTATACAGAACTTTTCGGTTCAAAACGAAACTTTTTTCTTCAAATATTTATCATTTGCACAAAAAATCATGTTTCTAAAAATCCTTACATATTTCTTTAGTAAATTTCATATAGAACACAAAATGTTTCGGTTTTTGTTCTCGGTCAAACCATTTTCAAGTTAACCTGCACACCGATTAGGGGCTTACTTAAAAACAGCCAAACGTGGATCAGTCCCAGGCAGAAATAGGACTTTAAGAAGGTTAAACACTATTGGGACATACCGATTCCGTTGCAAATTAAGATGTAGTTATCGTAACAACGAGAGATGAACATCTCCTTTGTTTGCGTAATGTATCATATGACTGAAAACAAAATGCCGATCGCTATTCGTATCTGTATTGTTATAAAATAATGGCGTGACAAAACTATACTACGGAAATGATCAAAACAAACGGCCATTTATTTTCCACCAACTCAATAGAACTTTTCTCATTAAAAAGTACAGCAGAGTGTGTTATAATTTTATGTAAAGAAAGTAAGAAGAAATTATAAGATAAAGTAAATTTCGTAATAACGAAACGACGAATAACATTTCTCGCGAATATTTAAGATTTCGAGTGACCAACAGAGCTTCTAACATTCGTGTACAAATAAATATAATAATTAGGTCTTTATACATAATTCACAGGAGAAATTATTATACAACGAAAACGACAAAAACAGATAAACATAAAAAGATGGAAGTATAAAAGAAATACATAACTAAAATGTTGCAAATTGTGTAAAGATGGTGCACAACCTACCTGTATTTAAGTTTAACAGTTTGTGTGTCTTTACGTGCACGTCGCAATGGTATACTTTCATTATTAAAAATATATAATAATAAAATATTGCGTATTCAGATTAAATGAGCCTATAATGTTAGTTATACTTGCCCATTTCATTCGTAATCACTCGTGTCTTTTAGCAGTAGCAAGTAATATTTAGAATACTCAAAAATTTTCCCACTTTACTTAATTTATATTTTAAACTATAAATTTAAATAACTTTGCAATCTCAGAAATGATCTAAAACTAAGATTTATTAGAAGTATGTAAGAACAATTTCTACAGAATCTGTTACTGAAAATAGTCCCTCCATTCTCGATAACTTATAACATTTCTCTGGTACAAGCGGAATTCATCTCCAATACAACACCGTTATTTATCGTTAAATTAAATTAAATTGGGTCTGAAATGAAATCAACTTAAGAAAATATATGTATCTGCCTATCGCTATAGATTATAATATATGTAAGCTATTGATGTCAAATTAATTTAGAAATTCCTCTAATAAGATATCTTAATTAAGAATCACACATTAGCATCGGGTCAATTGCAAGCGACGGTTTTTATTTTGTACGACTTCTTGGTAGACTCCGGATTTTATGCATTTATCGCAAAATACGAATATGCAAAGTACAGTACTGTAAACATTTTTCTAAAGATTACTGTAACTTTTACTTTATTTCGGACGTAGTAGTATTCTTGATAAAGAAACGAAATATCTAACTTAATTTCAATTCAATAAATTGAATAAATCTCTGAATTTACATAAAGATCCGTAAGTCCACTTATTAGATTCGAGACAGTTTGATTTGAAAAATAATTTGAGTACTGATACACGAAATTTAATTTCGCATTTACAGACGACGTGCCTAACAGAACTGCCAGACGTTGCACCGTGTAACGGCACAGTACGATTGCCACCGCCGTGCGAGGACTCGCCTAGCAGCGGCAGCAGCAAAGACTGCAGGGAAGAGAGCCCTCGCAGAAGGTGCCGAGTGCTAGCGTCCATCTTGCTCCTAGTAGCGGCTCTGCTTCTCGGAGGACTTTGTCTACCGTTGCTTCTACAATCCGCGCCTGTTACGCACCAGCAAAGGCTGGACGTGATCAGGAGGATTCTCACTGAAGTGCCTCTGATCGATGGGTAAGATCACGCGATTAGACAAACAGTATATTTGATCAGTGGACAAATATTGATAGATTTTGCTCCAAAAAAGTAGTCTAATACAAATTTAATTATAATTTAATAATAATCTAATGTAATACATAATGATTATTTTATAACATGTATTTCGAATAGAAACTTTTATTCCAATAAACAACATTTTTGGAATATTAGTTTTCAGCATTTCTATTCTTACGAGACTTTTTTTTGCTATTGATAGTGTGTTGCTACGGCTTGAAGTTTAAAATAGAAATTTCTGAAATTAACAATTCAGTGCCAATGTCGAAGTCACTTCTTCATGTCTCTGGCAATTATAATTGAAAGACAACAAATACATTTATCTCTTTCTCTATTCATATTTAAGTAGAATTAGCCATCTCAATAGGTAATCTACTATTTTTTAATAAGTTGACAATACCGTTTGGGTTCAGTATAACTCCCTACTCATTATGCTTGGCGGGTGTGATAATGGGGAACAAGGAGGTTCATTATTGAAGATTAATGTAATTTTGTTTTTGGTGGAAAGAAATGCTTAATTTAATAAAACTTCCTTTTTAAAATGAATTTTCTTACTTCTACACTTGCTGTGTAACTTTAAATTTTGGTTCCTGTACCCTACACACTTTCGAAAAACCTCGAAAATGTTATTCTTACGCCTTTCAATATTTTTCTTTGTTTTTCCATATTTTGTAACTGCTTTAGTACTGGTTTTATTTGTATCTAATTCAAATCAAACCTTCGTGAATCAACTAGCATAGAATTAGAAACCATCCGAGACTTTTGGCATTTACGTTGTGCAGCACTGATTTAGTAAATGTTTTTAATAAACGGCAATTCCGAGATCCTTAGATTTCCTGATCTTTTTTAAAATGAGTAAAATTTGCTTGTAGTCTATAGAAATAATTTTAGTATAAATGAAATTGCTGAAATGTTTTAACACACTAAAATAATACACAAGCCAAGACTGAATGTCTGTTCGTGCCTTAACTGTGATAAAATTAACTATAATAAACAATTGCATACTCTTTTAATTTAATAACGCGTACAGAAGTACATTACTCGATGCAGTTTTTTTATTATAAGTAGAGAAATATCAGGATCTCGATGGAGAAAATTTATTAGTTTGAAAAAATATTGTAAATATATCTTCAACATTCGTATGTATCATGTCACAATATTCGCCAAAAGTAACATATACAAACGAATTGCACTGACAAGTGAATAGACCATTTATCTGCTAGTAAAATTGCTTATTTCGTTAGCTATGGACTAACTAGTAGTACAAATCAATAATATCCGCATGTAACATCAAACCCCCATTTGATTTCACAAATCAAAAACAATTTACTATCAACTCAAAAATCTACAATTTTCTCTGCCTCTGCCCCAAAAAGGACTTCGAATGTTCATGAAGATCACAGAGGAAGAACATGATAAATCCAAATGAAACAGCCATATAGATTACTAAGACCACGAAAAACTCGGTATTAAAAACTTAACGTAACAAGTTAAATGACAATTTATGGATAACCTAAGAAGTGATTATTTAAAAAAGTAATTATTAACACGAGAATAGCTGATAATTCACAAAATTTTGTAAAAAAAACCAAATGCATAACTAGTATTATGACAATCAATATTTTGAAATGTTCAAGAGGATGATTAATCCATTAAAACCAAATAAAAACACAATTCTAGTAATATGGGATTGGTTGACGGCGTATTCAACTTTTTTTTGAGAACCTGTTTTTCCCCGTGGTCTTCATATATAATGATAATAGTTTATTAAATAATTAATCCTTTACATTGCGGACTAAATCCGTTCTGCTACGAAAAAAGTTGTTCTACACAATATGTTTCGTTGTGATTCCGGTTTAAAACTTTAAAAGTAATGATGATTTAGTAACTGTTTTCCATCGGTACTGTTTCAGGCACAACGATTTGCCCTGGAACGTTAGAAAGTTCGTACACAATCAGCTCGGCGAGGTTAATCTGAGCAGCGACCTCGGCAGGGTGGATCCCTGGGCCAGATCAGACTGGAGTCACACGGATATTCCTAGATTACGTGCTGGCCTTGTCGGTGCACAGGTAAGTGTAAAATAACATTCCCAGCTCCCCAGCTTTTTCACTCATCCCTAATTGCAATTTAAACTCTTCGGGGCGCAATCTCTTCGTATAATTACTTCGAGCTAGTCTAACATTATTGTTTCGCGGTTTAAATAAACTTTATGTTTCTGTACTAACACTCTGCTGTATCTCGCTGTACGCCAGTCACTTTAATCAGTTCCCGACACAAATGTTAAATCAAAAAAATAATTCTAAATACCAGTTTTATTTAAGTGTTTCGTGCAATAATAAATATTGAATTTTTTTGTAATATACATCACTTCATAATATTATTTGCATATCATTCGCATAGAAAAATTAATTTTCAATTCTTGCGTCAAAAATGACGCATTCTTCTATTCATATAAGAAATATAAAGAATATCGCTACAATATTGAACTTAATTGACTTCTAATATAGTTCCAACACTTCTTTATTAATTACAACCATTCATTGCGATCGTATCTTTCGATTTAATTACTGTTCTTCATGAGTTAGTACTTAAACACATAAATGTGATGAACATCCTCAGTCTATTTATTACATATTCACTAACACAAGTGCCCAATGACTTATGTACATACAGTAGTGTATGAAGTTCGTCTTTTGTTGTAACACATTTTGTCATCCTTGTATAAAACAATTGAGATTATAAAAAACATACTGTATATAAAAATATAAAAATATATTACATAAAATATAGGTCAACCAAATGTAGTTAATCCTTTGTTATAAGACAATACATTTTTTCATCAGCTAACACAAAATGTTAGAATTCTACAAAAATATGTTACAATAAAACACTAACTATATACACTACCATTAAGAAATTATCGGGCAATAACGGTAAATTAGTCTTGTAATATAATTTTTATAATTCTAATACTTTTTCTTCAACGACGGATTGACGGATATTATCCAAATACGTCTGATAAATGGGACATGAATATTTTATCTTTCGTATTTTCTCTGTTGGAGTATTGATCAGAGCACGGAAATCAATCTCAGCTATTACCATTACACCTGTATCGTCGAGTACTCACGGAGTTGAGCTTCCTAATCATTTGAATTTCGCTCCTGGAATAATATTGGCAAGATTAGTTGCCGTTTAATGGCGCCGAAGCCGTGAACTTTCGATCGAAACTATTCGCTCGTCTTCAAAAGGAACATATCGGTAAATCCCAGGCAAGTTTCTGCCTACACCCTGCGGGAACGCCGACGAATTAAATTCAAAGGGCGCCTGTCGAACTGAGGGTAACAGAAACTGTTGGAAAACATTCCCTCGGCTGCGGCGGGGAAATCACGGAATGCTGGGAGTAAATTGAATGCATAATTACAACAATTCTGATCGAAAAATTCCGACGATCCTTCTCCGTTTTATCAACTGCTCAAGGGGCTACATGGTCTTTGAACAGCGAAAATGAACGGTTTAATTTAGGTTGCATTCGAGCTATTATTGACATTTAATTAAAACTGTTTGCACGTTTTTCAATTCTTAATTGTGAATATAACACGTATTTTAAAATCAAGTCCAATACCACGTGGGGATTCCAATTGAATAACTCATCTGAAAACAAAGTATGTAGTTGTAAATCAGTACTATCTGACTCAACATCTACAAGGTGGAACTTCAATGAAAATTTTTGTGTAAATTATACAAGTTATACAACAAATATCAACTCTGTAAATTTATTCTGAAATAATTTTCTGAAAAAGGTTTAATGACGTTTTTCATGACTTCTGCGATTTCAATAAGCGAATGAACATGCGAATAAATCGTTGGAGTTTAGCAACGAATATTCATAAATATTTCTAAATTGTTCTATTCTAAGTTTCCGTATATATTTTAAATTATTTCATAGTTTGAACTTAAAGCATGGAATATTTGTGTATGTACTGTTAACACGTTGACTGCCACGTCACCCAAACATGAATGACACGTAAATCGCGACAATAACAAATTAATATCGCAGTATAATTTAAAACAAGACCAACAGCATCTATTAATTCAACGCATATATTTTCGACGATTTATGACTTAAAAAACGAAATAAGATGTGTCCCGCTACATACGACCTTTTTCACCGTGGCATGCAACGAATTAAAGTAGAAAGAAAATATTTAATTAATGCTCTACACATGTCAATCTCTACTCTCTTCTATAAATTCTTTTCATATTGAAGGACAAGAAATATTCTTCTATGCCTACTTTTAAAGTTGACTGTATTAATTATATAATATAGCAGTGTATTCTATTTTAAATTGAACGAAGAAGAAAAAAATTAAATTTACACTATGTAATATTTTCTATTAGAGTTCTCATTTTTCTAACAATTATACTAAACCTAAAGTAAAGACCACAAAAAGTGAGACGTAATTAATAATTGTGTTTCCTACGCTCCTTCCTAAGCGACTGTCAAACAGCGTATAATCAATGACGAGTTCTGCTTATCTTGTTCAGGTCAATACGTCGATACAGACATAACTGACACGGTAACGTTTATAACTATATTTAACGGGAAAGGGAGAAAATTAAGTGTTCCCTTGCCTGCGGCAAATTGTTTCCATGCATGCCTCTCAATCGATATTCGTTTACAGATAATACAGTATCAAATTGAACATAGCCACAGAAATTGCATTTTGATTATCAGAGAATTGTTAAAAAATTGCTTTGGCCTTTTAATTAATATATTAAAAATATTTAAACACTTAAAGCTTCAAAAAGTGTGCACAGTATTATTGACCTATACTACTTCATTATGCACGGTTAACATCAATATCAACTATAACTTTTGTACGCTATTACTAAAAACTTTTTAATACATACATAATCAAATATAAATAAAAGTATATTGTAGCATAAGTCTTTAAATATTTTAGAACAGGGTGAGTCGTTTAAATTGATCCCCGCGAGTAACTTCGCGACCGTTGATGATACCGAAAAATATTTCACATAACGGTAGAATGGTTTCGAAGGGGAAATAGTTTTTAAAGAATTAGAAAACTATTTTTTACTACAAATACAATTAACATCATTAAATTTTAATTAGATACGCACATTGTCTTTTGAAAATAATTGTTTTAAATAAGGTATGTTTAATTTGAAAGTCTAACGTAATTATTAATAAAACAAATGTGCATGTATGTATTTATTGTGTTGGACATCCGTCCATTATAATCTTATATCCTTGATGAGCATATGGTGGTAATTATGCTTATTAATATCTTACATTATACAAATTATAATTCTAAATATAATTATTTAATTGCACTTAATACTTATTACTTACCCTTCAATTAACGTAATTTTCAGAAAAATTCACATTTCAACGAGCACTGCATTACATTACATTTTACAAAGAGAGAAGTACATTTATTATTTTGTTAAAATCCTCTTGAAATCCACTCTTCCATACTATGTTGTTTCGTACACAATAATACTTTCTACTTAAAATACATACATACGCAAGTAATCTCTGCGGGGATCACGATAACCAATTTGTCTGAATGTATTCCGTCAAGGACAATATCCAATAATGCTCGAACAATGCATCGTCCGTAATTTAGCTCTCATACAAATGCTGTTTTCCAACGGATATTCAGCAGCAAGCCCTGGGATCTTTCAGCGCAACCGCCTACACGCCTCTCCCAGCCGCTTCGCGTATCTCGATAAATTGCGTTCGGTGAAACAGGTCAACAAGTGAGCACTAACTCTTATCTGACCCAGAGATCCTGTTTCTACCGTCGATTCTCGCCATCTTAGAAAGATATTGGTAATCGACAGATATGGATAGGGGCGGGATAGAAGGGGACCGAATGGAGAAGAGGAACGCGGAGAGCGAGTGATCGAGGGAGAAAAACGAGTGTACCAACCACGAGACTTTCACGTATACAGGGTGTCCCACGCAACTAGGACAAGCTATATCTTTAAAACGATAGGAGATACTGTGGGTGTAAAAAGTATTCGTACACCCTTTAAGACGGAACAACTCTTTTAAGATTGGTCCAAATGACTTGAGTTTTTTTGTGAAGTTAGAAACATTAATTCATTAAATGATGTGAAAAAAAAATTTGAAAAAGTTCCAATTGATCCGAATCGCGAAGAAAATATTAAAGGTCGTGTTTTACAACTTTTTAATCTGAGGCTATAATGAAAATTTAATAAATACACATCGAAGATTTATGTTAGTTATGTACATGTTGAAAATTTCATCAAAATCGGTTAACGTTGCTACGAGATACAAACGATTGAAAATGTTGAAAATCGCAGTTTTTCCCGACTTTCGATCTACAACTGTAGTAAATCTAATAATTTTCACATCTTTTGATGTCTGTCGCTCGTTGCTGTATTAACCGATTTCAATGAAAGTTTCAGTATGTACATAACTAACATAAATCTTCGATATGTATGTATTAAATTTTCATCATAGCCTCAGATTAAAAAGTTGTAAAACACGACCTTTAATATTTTCTTCGCAATTCGGATCAATTGGAACTTCAAATTTTTTTTCACATCATTTAGTGAATTAATGTCTCTAACTTCACAAAAAAACTCAAGTCATTTGGACCAATTTTAAAAGAGTTGTTCCGTTTTAAAGGGTGTACGAATACTTTTTACACTCACTGTAGAGCATTAGACAAATTGAAATGGTATCGTGTGATGCATTACATGACGCATAGATCTGCTACGGAAGTGGAGGCGTTTCAGAAATATATATTTGATTTTTTATTCCCTACAAAAAAGTTTATACATATATCGGAAAATGATTAGTTTAGATGACCGGGCAGTTTCCTACTTATATCCGTAAGGCTTTGACGTTTTGTGATCAGCACAACCATACTTAATTCAATTAAGCGATACGAAATGATATCATTTAGCTGCAACATTCTGAAATATCAGACTAACCGATGTTTACGAACATTTTTGAAGTATAGTAATTCCTCGAACAATGCGACGCGAACATCGGTGTTATTCCCATCAC